GATTTATCCCTTTAGTCTCGCCCTTTTGATTCTGTTCGCCGTTCGTTGACCTTCGCTAGCCCTAGGATTATTCTTGTGTCTTGTCCTCCATATTCCTGTTTGCCGTTGTCTGACCCATGCCTGTTTCTGACCATGCCTGTGAATAAAGCTTGCACATGGATCCGCACGTCTCACGTCTCGTCAGCCACGTTACAGATACAGTTTCTCTCCAGTGTGGATGTTCATGTGTCTCTTAAGGGTTGCTGATTGTGAGAAACTCTTTTCACATTGATCACAAGTGAACGGTTTCTCTCCGGTATGAACTCTCATGTGTGCTGTAAGGTGTCCTTTTTGTGAGAAACTCTTTCCACACTGATCACGTGTATAGTCCCACTCCAGTGTGGCTGTTCATGTGTTTCTTAAGGGTTGTTGAGTATGAGAAACTCTTCCCGCACTGATCACATGTGTACAGTTTCTCTCCAGTGTGGATCCTCTCATGTGTTTTCAGATATGTTGACCGACTGAATCTCTTGTCACAGTGTGAACACTTGTAAGGTTTTTCTCCAGTGTGAATCCTCTCATGCAGTTTTAAACAGTTCACTGAAGTAAAAGTCCTTTCACATTCGAAGCACATATAATCTCTCACACCAGCATGTATTTTCTGATGAACTTTCAAATGTTGTAGACATTTAAAGCTCTTTCCACAGAAATAACATGAATGTGGCTTCTCTTTTCTATGAACTATCAGGTGCTGCTTCAGGCCTGAAGCTCTCAAAAATGTTTTGTCGCATTGATCACATGCGTACAGTATCTCTCCAGTGTGGATGATCATGTGTTTCTTAAGGGTTGCTAAGTGTGAGAAACTCTTCCCACATTGATCACAAGTGAACGGCTTCTCTCCAGTATGAACTCTCATGTGTGCCGTAAGGCTTCCTTTTTGTGTGAAACTCTTCCCGCACTGATCACATGTGTACGGTTTCTCTCTAGTGTGGACCCTCTTGTGTGCTTTCAGGTCTCCAGACTGACTGAATCTCTTTTTGCATTGTGAACACTTGTAAGGTTTCTCTCCAGTATGAATTCTCATGTGAATATCAAGATTAAATTTGCTTGATAAACTCTTTCCACACTGAGTGCAGGTGAAATATTTCTTGGCTCTTCTGTTCTTTAAAACTTTCTGTTTATTTTTACAGCAACTCAAAGGTTTTTGTCCAGTTCTGAAGTAATTTTTTCCTTCAACTTTAGTCAATTCTCCATTCTCCTCATTTTCTTCAATGAATTCTGAAAAAAAAGGTTTATTTTCGTTAACTCAAGCTAATAAAAAAAAGTGAAAAGACATAAAAGTGAACCCTGATGTAACAGTGGAAAGTAGACAACTGCTATACAACATTTTGATCATTTGTGAACTGTGCTAGCAAAATGAGTCACAGGGGTTAAAGCAAAAACAAATCCTGAGCCTGAACTTCTTTCTGGGGGTTGGGGGTTGCGGGGGCGGACACATACACAGGGTTATTTGGCAAACAAAAAAAAGAAAATGATTTTCCTTGAAACTAACAAGTAACGTATCTGCCATTGCCATTGGCCCTTGACAGGCTCAGACGACAGATTATGGTGGATATTTGAAACAGCAATAACAAGAAAGATCACTCACTACAATATGGTGCAAACACATGTAACATTTAGGATGCTTTTGATATCAAGTTTTGCTGGTTTGCTTTGTCCTTGACGGTACAAGATGACCTACAATCTAAAACATGAAATTTCTGAAATTGTTTTGTTCAAAAGAAATAATGGTAAATTAAAGCTGCAGTCCGTAACTTTTTTTTGTGTTCAAAATTTACAAAATGTAAATAATAAGCGAGTACACCATGAATAAATTTTCCAAACCGTGATTTTGGTTTGTCCTGAATCACTACGGTACACCTATAATACGTGTTTATATTCGGACTATTTTAGACTGGTTCGGGTAGGTACCGCTGCGGAGTAGCCCAGTAGCTGCGTGATTCACCATAGACATAAACAGAGAGAAGTAGCTCCGGCTACAATGTTCTTCTGCAAGACGCACGCAGTTCTGTTTATTAACTGCTAGAGTGCCAAAAGTTACGGACTGCAGCTTTAAATAGGCCTACTAGGAAATTAATATAAAATAGGAAATACACAAAGACAGTTTAATACAGAAAACTACAGTTTAGTTCAATTACTTCATTAATTCATACTGGTAAAAAATGCACTGTAAATGTAAATGCCTGAATGCACTGTAAATGTAAATGCCTGAATGCACTGTAAGTCGCTTTGGATAAAAGCGTCTGCTTAATTAAATTAAATTAAATTAAATTAAATTAAAATGGTCCAATAACTGGTAACTTAAACAGGGTTCGTACAGATACTGCAAAATAAAATTCCAGGACTTTCAAGGACTTGCACTACTTTTTTGGTTTTCAAGGAATAAAATCAGATATCACTTATCAAAGTTGTTATTATCTTTCAAATTCTAATAAATAAACTAATAAAACAAAATGGTACAAACAAAGTGCAGCACATGCAAATAATGCAATAACTGTGGCAACTTTAACACCGTGTCTACACCGGACGCGACAGTTGTCGTGTTGCGCCGCAACAGCTAAAGTCTGTCTACACTGGACGTGACTAAGCGACCATTGAAAATCATTTGAAATTTGTTTCAGTACGTCATAAATAGAACACAACAGCAGTTTACTGTCGGGAATTTGTCCCGCCGCACCGCATCCAGTGTAGACACTGTGTAACATTTGAAAGGATACTATGGCAAAGTTATCGCTTTCCTTATTCAAACTGATTTTTTTTTTTGCATGAATATATGATTGACCTGAAGAATGAAAGCTATACACTTGAAAAATTGAGCTTTATCACGCTCATAGACACTAGGGGTGTGACAATACACTTAGCTCACAAGGTGAGACAAAATGCAGATACTTGCTTCACTAGAATGAGACAATGTTTTAATACTTTAAGAAATTTTCAAATTACAAAACATTTGTCTTTTAATCACAAAAAGTAAACTAATGCACTTGTATTTTGAAATGTTTTAACTAATCTAGTGCTTAACTAATCATTATTTTTAATATTAATATTAATATTATTTTAATATTATTTACTTTAATATGACGATATTTATATATAAAGTAACGATGAGGCAATAATAATTGGCCTCAAATAAAGTATCAAAACCAAGTACATGGTTTTATTGAACAACACTGTTAAATACATAATGTAATATGCCTATATTATAACAAATACCTGCAGAGGGC